TCTGTCCGTCCATCCCTCCGTCCGTCCATCCATCCCTCCGTCCATCCATCCCTCCGTCCATCCATCCGTCTGTCCGTCTGTCCATCCATCCCTCCGTCTGTCCATCCATCCGTCTGTCCGTCCATCCCTCCGTCCGTCTGTCCATCCATCTATCCATCCCTCCGTCCGTCCATACATCCCTCCGTCCATCCATCTATCCGTCCGTCCATCCATCCATCCATCCATCCCTCCGTCCGTCTGTCCATCCCTCCGTCCGTCCATCCATCCGTCTGTCCATCCATCCATCCATCCATCCCTCCGTCCGTCCATCCATCCCTCCGTCCGTCCATCCATCCATCCATCCATCCCTCCGTCCGTCCATCCATCCCTCCGTCCGTCCATCCATCCGTCTGTCCGTCCATCCCTTCATCCATCCATCTATCCGTCCGTCCGTCCATCCCTCCATCCATCCATCTATCCGTCTGTCCGTCCATCCATCCCTCCATCCTATGTGGAGGGATGGATGATAGATAGATAGATAGATAGATAGATAGATAGATAGATAGATATCTATCATCATTATGACTTTTTCTGATAATGTTACATTATTCTGATAATGTTATGACTTTATTGTCGAATTAAAATGAAAAACATCTCTAGCCTGGCCCTAATTTAATCATTTTCATAATTTATAAATGTAGACACCTACCCACACATTTTTATGCACAGTTATTTTACACCATAAGCTGAAGGAAAAATGAAGATAGAATGAGTTGGTAAAATGATTTATAATATATAAGGATTTATATCCAACATTAAATTGGGAATGTACCAAAAAATACAGAAAACTTGAAATATTTCTAATTTATTTATGTGAAATATTAGCCTCAGTAAATATCAAGCCCAGAACATTTCTGTGGGATTCCGAACCCTGTCTATTGTTTGTGCTGCTACAGTATTTACAGACGATCTAAACTGAGTTTCATTAAACAAAACCGTTTTTAAAGTTAAAAACAAACAGTTATTGGGAAATCTAACCTTTCATTTCTTTTTTATGGAAATAAAGAGAGCAACATGAGGATGAGGAATGAAGAACAGTTGGTCTTTGCTGTGGAACTGGAGGTGAGAAATATTTTAAATATATGTTTAATGTTCTGAGTTGAAACTTCAGAGGTTTGAAGTTGTCAACAAAGGTCATTTTTTAGATTGCCTGCATAATAAAAGTGCAAAACAAATATGAAACAAAGTAAATCGACGGAGAAAAAAAAACAAAAAAAACCCCCGAAGGTCTTATTTTGCCATTAGAAAAATAGATTCTGTGATCAGATGAAAAGGCATAAAAACAAGAGACTGTTATCATGCTGAATTAACTAAACAAAGCATATTTTCTTTGTCTCCTGTGCAGAATCTACATCTTTCCCAGAGAAAGTTACTTCAAACTACAGGAGCTGCACTTCCCTTCTCTCCTCTGAAGGTGAAAACGTTAAAGGAGAAATCAATGGATCATTCTTTATACCTAAAACTAACACTTTCGCAGTGATTAAATTAATTTAGTGATAATCAGTAAAAAAATTAAAACAATAATTTTGGTCTGGGAGCGGCCATTTTTGCCCAAATATAATAGCCCCTCCCTCCTGCCATCTTCCAGCAGTGACGTCACGGTGCGGTAAGCCTAGCGCCATTCTCCCCGCTTTACAAGCTAAATCAAT